CGCTCCACCTTTCCTGACAGGCTGCTCTTCTCCTATTCCTTTGCACGCAAGCAGGGCTTCATGCGCGCTTCTGCACGCAACGATCGCGTAGAGTCACGTGTCTCGCGTGTCTTGCTTTAATTCTTGTTTTAGCGCCTGGACTGGACGGCGAGAACGCGTCAATTAAGGCGCATGCGCTATGCGAGATTGAGCTCTTTGCGTCGCATGCCTTGGGAACTTTAAGATCTGGCTGCTTCTTGTTTAACACGCCGTCCACAGTCATGAGTTGCGCACGCCTGTCTGATCGCTTCTGGCTTTCTAACTCCCATCCCGACTCACGACTGCCTTGCGCCGCGATCTGCATGCAGGCACGGCTTGGCCATCTGTCTACATGGGCTTTCGACTAGACAGCACGCATGATACCGCAGGCGCCAGATGTAGGCGTCATGAGGAATCAGATACTTGAATCTGAATGTTGAATGTGAATTTTGAATCAAATGTTACTCTGCACGTATGACTTGTGTTAATTGAGACAGCGCGACGCGCGATGCATCCATCTGCATACATTCAAGATTTCTCGATTCCGCAGCCATGCCCCGCTGGAGCAAGGATGCAGCTGCGTGCCGCACTCAAGAAGTAAGTAATTCAAATTGAGGAGGCAATCACAATTGTCTCACGCTCGAATCGCAATGTGGAATGGAGGCATTCAAGATTGATTGTGCTGACCTCTTCAATCGACATGACTTTGTAATAAAATTGACATTTTCCTGTCAGACGTCGGTGCTTATGGCCATCGCTCGGGCTGCGTGACCCGTGCGCACTCAAGACTGCGCACCGTGCCACTTGCGCGCGCACGAATGTCCGCTCCACCTGCCTGCTCACCGCAGAGATTCGGACGCACCCCTCGCATCTGCTCTCTTCACCATCCAGCCCATGATCTGCCAGTACAGCGGTCAAAGATAGAGATTGTCCTTTTACGCTCGCTTAGCTCAAGCAAGACTCTGATGACAGAGCTAGAGCACGACCCTCTTGATTCAAGAAGACGAAGCCGCCAAAATGAAGTCAGCCGCAAGCGTCAGTCATTCACAGCCCGCTGAAGCGAATCAAGCATTGTCGTCGACATGCGCGTCTCCAGTGGGCACTCTCAACGCCTCTGGGCCCCCAGCAGAGATTGGCGGACTGATGGGCAGGCTCCCGTTTGAGCTGTGGGTCAAAGTCATGGTACAGCTGGACCCAAAGAGCATCACGCGATGCCAACGCGTCTCGAGGTGCTTGAAGAGATACGTAGATGACAGCGAAGATATCTGGAGGTGTGTAGCCTATCAATGGAAGCTCATAGACAGCATATATGCGCCCTTGCCTCGCAACACCGGCTCGCCGCGACCGGCAGAAGAACGACTCGCGCAGCAGAACCCTCTCATGAGCAGCGCCACTGGCTATTTCGATAACATCGTCTCGTTCAGGGATCTTTGTCGACGACATGCGTGCTTGACCAGCACGTGGTCGACCCCAGACGCATTTGCTCAACGAGGTGGCCAGAAAGGCATGAGACCCCAAGGCTCAATCCACACTCGATTGCCACTTACAGGCCCTCGCTACAGGAAAAACAATCCCTTTCTTGGTACTGGGCAAGATGGAGAAGTTCAGATTGATGCAGACTTGTCCGCTACAGGCTACACTGTGGCTTCGATAAACGTGCTTCATGGAAAAGTGCACTTGGTTGACACTCTCCCTCTGCCTCAGGTCAGCTCTAACCCAATTGGCAACACACATCGAAAGATGGGAACTCTGTGTAGCGAAGGGTCACGACACATAGTCATGTCCTACCAGAAATCTTCTAGCGGACCTACTTTGAGGGTGATGGACTCTGTCAACGCTACCACATTCCACGAAACTGCATCAATCGACATTGCAGAGCGTTTTGGCTCTCCAGTAGTGGCACGACTCCGCTGGCCTCTGTGTGTTATGGCTACTACCACCGCCGATTTTCTCAGAGCGGACTTGGCTGAAGATGATGAGGCTGGACTAGGCTTCATTCTGACATTGGATCTGCACAGAAACAGCCTGGTCTCAAGTTGGCAACTCGAAACCTTCGACTTTGTCGAGCATGTCGACTTTGACGCAGTCAATAATCTCGTTTTTCTGAGAAGGGAATTTGGGCACATAGGGGTCTATCGACTGCTCCATGACGTTGAGGAAGAATTTACCCAGTTGGCATCGGTCTGCAGCCCTTTCAACTTCCATCTCAAAGTCCTCCATAACGTTGTTGGACCATGGCATGTTCCATCGTCAAGCATTCGTGCTTCACAGATCTACCTCGGGACCGCTCTGCTCAACCTCTGTGAAGACAAAGCTAGTCATCGTCCCCTCAAAGTGCTTTGGCGCTGCGTTGAAGATTCTTGCTTAAATCCGAGCGCTGTGGAACGAGGGTGAGAGGTCCTCCGTGCTTGTTCTGGGGTTTGTGTCTGTTTGCTCAACGACTTGCGCTGCCTCTGAGCCGATATGCAGCACTCTTGCGGGCCACATTAGGGAGTATAGCGTACGTGTAGCGATCTATTCATGCAGAACATGCTCAAGAAATCTGATGCATTAGCTTCTTTCTCTTCTTAGACTTTGCTAAGCCAGGAATCTCCCAGACATGTCAAAATGTCAACCTCGATCCACTTCGACTCGAAGAACACTACGCTGATCATCACGCACGAGTGGGGCCTGATCTTGATAAAAGGCATGCGCAACGCCTCGAATGCCTCTGTGACGGTTGGTATAATACATTACCATGTCATCTCGGAGCATTCTTCAAGCCATCGCCTGGGAGTCGAGGAAACGCAGCGAGCTTTCAGCACCGGTCGGGTATGCCAAGCAATGATACAAATGCCATACAAGGCGAGCGCCCTTACGCATCTGATTCTGGTCGACTACGACGCCTTTCGTCTAGACACGAGCTGGAAGTGGAAAAAGCATCCGTTTGAGAATGTCAAAGTTTGGCATATCGACCAACGCAGTCATCAAGAAAATGTTCATAAGGCTGATGCACGACTGTATACCACAGCACAGAAAAGAAACAAAGGCTGGTCTTGCTCCGATCCTTTCGTGGGCTTGCACATGGACTCGACTACCATCTACACGCTTAGGACGCGCTCGGGCCTGGAATACATGGACTTTGGACTAGCCAGTCGTCCCAGAAGTAGACCAAGGAAGGTTGAGGAGAGCCCATTGGAGAAGCATCTTCGGCGCTCGCGAAAAGAAGTCAAGGATTTCTGGTCGCGGTGATTTCTTTTCGCGAGCTTCCATGCGAGACTTGTTCTCTAGCACAAGACAAATTTGTGGTCAGCAATATCGGACACCAGACTTGCGGATCATGTTGCCGCTACTTGCAAAGTACGCCGCACCTTTTCACCGCTAGTAACACACCGACCAGCAATGTTGTGAAACATCATCCCTCGACTTGACAGAACCCCCCCCTCACGCTGTTCTCTTCACGTCCAGCTTCACAATGTGACTTCCCACCGAGCCCTGAGAGCGCACCAAGTGCTGCCGCTGTCAAAGCGCGCGACACGATCCCTTCGAGAATCGATGAATTCCAGCGGTTTCATTGACTGTTCACAAGCACTTCTAGTCTCCAACTTTGCTTGTACCACTGCTCACGTGGGAGGAAGGCGTGACTGCAAAAGCGCGTTTTGGGCTTCTTTCCAGCACAGATAGATGCTCTTGTGACTTTTGCAGATACCTTCACGCTGAGAGGCAAACGCGAATGATGATAGTATTGAGGTAGGCTAGTCTCGACTCTACATGCTTGTTGTTGAGGTGCGCGCATATGCACGTGATAGATACACGCTTCCTCCCTTGATTTCCGTCCACAATGATTTGTCGCTTCACTTGCCGTCCTGCAGTGCCAAGTGAAGAAATTGCGAGTCTCCTGCGCGGAGATTTTGGAGCGGCATATCGTGTCTTACTATATGCTTTGGGGATAGCGCAAGCACAAAAAACAATGCTCAGGATCTCGTAGGACGAAAGGGACTACCGGTCGATACCGTCACTCTTGGTCTTTTGGAGGGGCAGCAGAGGCGATCTTGCTCGCATTTTTGGCTGCAATGCCAAAGTCGATGTAGTGCAAGCCAGTCTTTGCGCGCCATATATAGATCGTGGTCGCATCCATGTAAAGTTCTCGTACTCTATCGACAACGTCCCAGGGCTGCTCCCCATCCAGATCGAAACCAGGATGAGACGGATCGTTGACCTCTTCCACTGTTTCTGATCTTGATTCCAGATGCCAAAGTCGCACGTCTTCAAAAAAGTGGCTTTGTTTTTTTTGCCACAAGGGATTCAGACGATGGTGTTGCAAGTCGATCAAGACAAGGTGAGTGTAGGTGGTATCTCCATCTGTGCCTTCGTGCAGGGCTTGACAAATTCTTGACTGACTGAAGACAGAGTCGCATACGTGAGCAACGGTCTCGTCAACGTGCGGACTACGCCTGTACAGCAATCTGTAGTGGACCAGTGCTACCTGCACTTGGGGGAGCAGATCAGGCTGACTCAACCAGGAGAATGGTCGAACAAGAGACACTCCCCAGCAGAAGCTTGTTATCAGAGTATCTGATGCCAAGTCAAGCTGTATGTTGTAGGGCCTCATCTCGCTGCCCTGAAGTACAATACCAGACGGACGCAAGGAATAGCCCCTTACAAAGTCTGCCAGAGTGCTGTTGTGATCAGAAATGCGGATCTTAGTAGTGTCAGAGAAGCCTTTTTACAAAACGCAATGATAGTCTCACTCTGTGCGCATGCAGCTTGGATTGAGGCAGGTGTCCTCTACCGCCCGCCAGCGTAGTGGAATAACGGTTTGCTTGAAACCCTCTTTGTCGTCCATGAGGAAAGCTGTACAGACATAGATCTGACTTGACGCCAGTATAGTCGAGCCATGGTCCAGAAAAGCTTCGCTCAGCTTATAGACAGGCAAATCCTTGGTCCGGAATTCAAAAGGATGGCAGACTGTTCTTGACACAAGTCTATCGTCATTGGTTGAGTAGATGTGCACCGCCTCCTCTAGAGCCAGAATCAAAAGTTTGGCTTCGAGATCAAATTCGATCATATGTACGCGACCGTGGACCTCCACTTGGCTAGTGCGAGTAGTAGCGCGGGTCTGAAGATCCCAGTAGCATATCGTTGCTGACATTGGTCTGGCCTCTTCTTCGATGGGCAGAGTCTGAAGGACTACGGCACACGTCGGCCATCGGACCAGCATTGTTGTGATGGTTCCTGTGGAGCTCGAGGGCGAAAAAGACAAGCTCCCGCAAACCGCATACGATTTGTTGTGCTGCAATTTGTAATCCTTCAGAACACACGTGTCGGCGGCCTCCTCCACCACAAATTGGTGGTCGCCATCGGTGAAAAGGTGCGATTGTAGCCTTGTGTGCGCTGGCATGTCTCCACATTGCAGCAGAAGCTTTGCATCCGACAATTGTCGCAGACTTTGAAGCGCAGATTGACTGTCAGTTGTGGGCGCTATCTGAAGTTCGACTATTGAGTAGTCAGGCTTACGCTGAGTGGGCCAGGCAAGGAGGACAGTGAGGCTACCGCAGCGATTGGTCTCGACTATGCTGACCTCTCTAGGCCATGCAAGTGCACAGAGTTGGCTATGTGCGCGAGAAGAGCCTTGCGCATCTGGTGACATGGCTTGGAATGCTCCCGATGTGGACCATGCCAACGACAGTGCTTGATACTCGTCGCAGAGCACTTTGTATGATGTCTGCGCGGAGAAATACCCGGTAGCGCTTGCTGTGGCTGCGTCCGCAATTGCTGTGAAGCCTTGAGTGTGTCTTCGGTCACCAGTAGGAAAGGGTGCATGCACGTCAGAGACAAGACCCCATTGCACGGCAATGCTGCGCCAGATTTCTTGCGTCGCATCGATCCACGCCTTCCATCCTCTCGATATTCTTCTGCTGCGGATGATTGTCCTTGCGTCCACCAGGGTCATGAGATGACTTCTGGTTTCCGCTGGCAGGTCCAACATGCGAAAGTGCGAGCTCATTGTGATTGTGGTGATGAGCGAGCGTGCGAGTGCAGCTGATGAAGCGAACTGGGCAGAAGGAGGTGAGCCCTTGCAAAGTCATAGCTTGCAAGGGTCGTTATTGCCTGCCGGCTTGCACGAGTGCTCAAGAAGCAGCTCAATCGGCTTTTGCATCCTTCCCGAAGATCTGACGTCCACCCGTAACATGCCATTCAGGAGTGCTGTCAGGCGCGGAGAGATCGATGTAATGAGGCAAGAGGGTCTGTACTCCGTTGTGGTGTATAATACATGTACATTTTGAGGCGGTGCATGCATATGCATGTTGAAACGCGGCTGTGAGACGCGGACACGTGACAAGTGCAAGCGCACCCAGATGACGAATCGGCCGATCGGGAAAGTGAGTTTGATCAAACACTGATGAGCTGAGCGAGACGCGGTCATTCGTGATTCACGATTGCATGCATCGATGACTTCTAGGCCTGATCGGCGCATCTTTCTGGCGGCAAATCGATTGATCTCGGGTCTCCTTTAGAATTCAGATTCGTGTGGCTGCATGTATGCGGTGAGTCGTGATGATGCAAGTAAATTTAGGTGCAATTGCGAGGGCTGAAGTCGACCCGAGACTTGCACATGCAGCGTGTGGTGGGTGCAGAAAAACTGCCGTGTACGCACCCTATCACCTGCAGCAGCATTCTGACTTCATCCCGCCTATTCCGTCATGACATCTTGTCTTTCCGGGTTTGAAGTTACATCTTAATTTTATCTTGCGTATAAGGACGCTTCTCAATCAAATGCCTGTCGACCACCGATTCTCAAACTCTTTGGCCGTTCTTCAGACGCTTGACTCACTCTTGATTTTTGTGGGTGACATTCATTCGCAAGTGAGTCCCGAGGCGCATCATGCGTCATTGTTGTAGTGGTCAGCGTTGGAGGTAATTGGGTTCTCGAGAGTAGTCTTCATGATCCGGGGATCGAGCTACAGATGTCAGGGCTGTTTAAATGCATCTGTTTTTGATTGTAGGAAGATACCCGAAGAGTCTCTGATGCACTTTCGACATTCGAATTCTGATGATGATCTTGAAACGTTGCGCAATCTTGATGTTGCTACCTTTTGGTTTGCCTGATGTCGCAGAGTGGAGGTCATGCACTCCACTCTACGCTTCATCGCGCGATAGAGGCGGCCAACGAGGATCAAATTGGCTGGGATCCATGCCCATCGCTTGCTGAGTCTCTTGCACGAGATTCTCCAAGTCTCTCGACAATGCCTCCGACATTGCTACACTCTGTTTTGTCAGCATGTGATCCTCGACTTGAGAGCGCGTTCTGCCGCGCGTGTTGAAGTCGATGTACTGAAGGCCAGACTGTGATCGCAGCGTGAAAATCGTGCTGGCGTCCATGTACAGCGATTGCAACGCGTCGGTCAGGACGATGTCCTCCTGCGCGGGAAGAGAACCATCGTCCAAGGTATCGATGGACTCCTCTCTTGTCTCGATGCGCCAAGCCCTGATGTTCTCGAATGGGTGCTGCTCGCTTTCAAAGAGGGTGTCGAGGCGGTGGCAGTTGAGGTCGACGAGAAGAAGATGTGAGAAAGAGGGCTCTTGAAAAGGGACCTCCACCAGAGCTTGGCATACACGCCCATTCGAATAGGCTGAGTGCAACATTTCAGCTTCCAGAATATAATCTGGCAGCACCTCTTCGCTGTAGTCTTTTGTGTGAAACGGGCTCTCAGGAAAGGAGTAGCGGATGAATCCGACTCCAACTTGACCCCGGTACGGCTTTTTGTTCAGGCAAGAGTACGGCCTGACGAGCGTGATCCCCCACTGATACACGACCACTAAAGTGTCCGATTCAACGTCAGCCCAGACGTCCTCAGGTGATGTGACTTCACTAAGCATCTGAGGGATCAAGTACTTCGAAGAGATCAAGCACTACGAAAGTTAAGCGTATCCCCATGATTGGCTCAACACCTCGACTTCTCACCCGCGCGTGGAATTGAACGTCCAGCAGCTCGTCGAGAAGACTGCGAGCATACTCGGAAGGCATGACAAAAAAGGCAGACTTTCTCAGATGGCAGGTCCTAGCGCTTTGCCAGCCCATACATCATCCGTGCTCACGATGCGCGTACCCTCAGAGGATTCACCTGCCTGCGTCCGAGGTGGCGCCAGTCAATGGCAAGAGGCAGATGGTCCAACCCAGCTTCTGTGTTGCCGACAGACACTGTTCCAATATGAACGTCAACGCCTTGCAGAGACAAAGCGCTGAGCCAAACGTCAGGCGATGGGGCAAGTGTAGGCGGCACACTTCCCTGCATTGTGTAGCTGGAAGATTGGCTGATCAAATTTACACCTTCACCCTTTGCACTGCGGAAAGAATAGATCGCAACGCCGGCGCTATCGGCCACAAAGAGGAGTTGCCTGTCCAGATCAAAATCCAACGAGTGGATCTGGCCTTTTGTATTCTTCAAGCTGAATGTCTCGATCAGTCGATGCGACTTGAGGCACCAGCAACTTACCGAGCAAGCGGTCTTGCCCGTCTCCGAGTATTCTGCTTGTACAGAGGATCCTACCATACAAACCGGCCAGTGCACACGAAGTGCTGATGGCTCAGCATGGTAAGGTATGTGCATCGCTGGCTCTGTGGTGCTGAATCTGCTTCTGTCGGACCCCAACTGCTGTATGGCCCAGCTGTCATCTGCTTGTTGGTGGACGAGCACAAATTCGTTGCTACTATCGGTAGCCATCCAGGCATCTGGTCCTTCCACTTGCTTGGCCTCAAGACGAGCTGTCAGAGTCCGCCCAACTTCCCGCAAGTTAGCGTACTCCGAGGTAGCAATGTACACTGACAGAAAGAGGGTGGAGTAGCCGGCTTCCCCTTCCACACCAACGACGAGGACGACATATCCACTGGGAGTCGTAGTCGTAATCCGCGGCGAAGTGAACAGGCCTGTCTTGTCTTCAATCGTTCCACTTGACTTTTGCATCGTGGCGTGAATCTGGGGCGTCGACCAGGCTTGCACGAGCATGACGTGAGTATCGCAAAGTGAGCGATACGTCGCCAAGCGGTCAAAAGCACCGCTTGCGCTTGTTGTCGCTGCATCTTCGGCTCTTGGAAAGCCGTCTTTGCGGTCTTGCGCTGGTTGACAAAGTGGCAATGGCAAATTGACGCCATCGCAAAGATGCCACTGAAAGGCGACACTGCGCCAAACTTCTTCAGTACTGTCTACGAATACCTTCCACCGACGACATACTCGCCTGCTACGGATGATCGTCTTCGGATCAACGTGCACGGCAATGGGTACCCAGAGCTCAGGTGGCAGAACCATGAAGGAAGGACTAGGCGTCATGATTGAGACTTTGCAAAGCCTCAAAATTCATGACTGGCTGACGCCTGTGGAATGGTGTAGTCGTGAGGGTCGTGGTGGCAACTTGTCAAATACATCCTCGCCATTGCTCGAGGCGGGAGTGGACAGCAGACAGCTGTATTGCAACAGCATGCAGAGCAGCGGATGTATGCGCTGCGAGAGGTCGCTGTGTTCGCAAGCAGAGTCCTTCACAAGCACACCGCCCAGCTTTCAGTCCTGCTGCCTTCGATCCAGTCAGGCTGCAGGCATCAGCAGAGCTAGACACTCGTGACTCGCATCGCCAAGCGCGCTCGCTGTGCTTCCCGATCGGCTTTGGTCAGCATCGAGTGACCACTATAGAGTCACAGTCACAGTCACAGTCACAGTACTTCTCACTGCAAGAGTCCCTCGTCGACCGACTGCTGGCCAAGTCTAAGGTTTGTTGAGTGCGGTGAAACATCCACGTCGGCATTTCTCCATGCTGCAATTCAGACATCGCGCCTGTGCTCGCGTGGAGCGGGCCATTGGTAGGGTGGTGCTATGTATATATGCAGCCCAGATGCAACGTAGGCTGAATAAAGTGTGTGAGGAGCAGGGTACTTGATGCGTGCATGCAGAGAGTGACTACACTGTCTCGCAAGCCATGATGCTGGCAGCAGCCGGATGCATGCAAGACGCTGTTCTGCTCTTGCTCCATTAGTGATTCACGATTCACGATTGATCGCAACTCGAGGTGAGACAGCTTGAACGCCTGTATATAGCTGCTGCCTGCTGCGCATGGCGAGGTTTCGAGCTTGGGAAGCCGCGGTAGTGTTCAAGATTGACGAGCGCGAGGGCGCACTCGTTCGCGCGCAGCGCCCTTCATTCATGTAGCTCTTGCATTTGTTTGTATTCAATGTGCAAGATTGTGATCAGCATATTGAATCTTGTATCAAGAGAACTAAAGTCCGCCTGTTGCCCCTCGTCTGGCATGTAGAAGAGTTTGAGTGGTGTTGCGTCTACGTGCTAGTTCACGAGAATTTGAATCTTTGAATGCCATGGATACCAAGCTTGATCAGCACAAGGGCGATGCTTCTCAGCACCGCACTCATGATTGGCACAGCGTCGATTTGAAGAAGCCTGGTGGGGCGAGCGGCATGCACGGTAAGCTTTGTGATTCGACAAGTAAATGTATATGCGTCCCCAAACCCGCATGATCTTCACACCCAGCCATTTCCCTGCCTCCGCCACTCACCTTGCCAAGTCAGTCGTGAGTATTTTACGGCACCGTATATGACCTCAAACACGTGAATGGGCGCAAATCGTTGCTAGAACAAAGCAAAGCAACAGCGATGATGAATGTTGGCGAGCAAAGTACGATCTTTGGCAAAATGTAGCCTCATCGCCTTCGCGCTTGTCTAGCGGGTTGCTTTTGGCGCTTTGGAGAGACGTCGGGTGCGGCTGGAGAAGGACGAGGATTGACGGCTAGACCGAAATCGACAAGCTCAAGCCCGGATTGCGTGCGGATAGTGTACACTGTGGTTGCGTCCATCCACAAATGCCAAAAGAAGTCTTCCGCTTCTGGATCACGTTCCTCGTCTTTGGAAAGCTCGGAGTCGGACGTGGGTCTTCCCTTGGTCTCCAGCAGCCAGGCTTGAACATTTTCGAAAACGTGGTCCTTCGGCGTCCACATCGAGTCCAGGCGGAAGGCGTTGAGATCGATGACGATCATGTGATATAGAGGCATCCAGGAAAATGGGGGCCGATGCGTAGCGTATTGACACAAGCGACCTATTCCAAATGCAGTCTGCTCCACTTCCAGAGTGGGAGCGATAGGCGTAAACCCAACAGAACGTCGTTCTCCTACGTAGCAATAATGAAGTATCGCTACTTTGATGCAGTCGAAACGACGGTCCTTCAGTTTCGAGTACGGTCTTGTCAACACCAGACCCCATCCGTACGTCACAATAAGAGTGTCTGTGGCAATGTCTGCATGCACGTTGTCAGAACTCTTGAAGAAGTGTTCGTCATCAGGGATGACCTTTAGCACATCAAGTGTGTCAGGGAGCGAGCGTGACCAATAGCGAGGGGTCCAACCGACTCACTGAGATATGCTTGATGTAACCCTCCAGGTTGCTAGTGCGACACAAAGCAAGAAGCGAAGAGTTGGATACGTCAGCTCGCATGCATGGTTGGCCTACCTGCGCACTCACCTTCGACCCACGCGAGAAGGGTTCCATGCGGACCCTTCGACACGACGCCAGTCGATGTGAAGCTGCTCATGCAAAACGTCGTCGTGGTTGTTGGAGAGGTATACAGTCCCTACAAAGATCTGGGAAGCGTGTAGTCCTTCTTCTTCTTCGCGGCAGGGAGGCAAAGGAAAAAACGGCCGAAGCGGACCATCAAATTCGAAGTCAAACGGTTGGCAAAACGAATTTGACAGAGTGG